ATATTTACAATTTTTCAGGCTCTTGAAGCATATTGAATCAAGGCTGAAGTTTCAATTGCAGAGCCAAGCTGAGAACGACCCCATACCTGTCAGACCGGACTGCGAGGTGCAGAGTTCCTGCCTGTGCTCTGGCTGACCAGTCATGAGGATCTTGATGCAGGAATTAGAAAATTAAATTCTACAGGTTTTTTTTTACCAAAAAGGTCAACCTAGGTTATTATTATTAAAATCTGATAATGCCTTTCTGGCACTGAAATCTGAATCATGGATCTGTAGCTTGAACCTTGACCAATCAAAGTGAACACTTACAGTTTTGCTTGGATGCTTCTGTAGGGATGTAGTGTGTAGCTTGAAAAAAACATGGAATGTATATGTTTCAGATCCACAGTTTTGATTTTTGAGCTTATGAATGTTTCTATCCCAGATGATATAAGAGAACGTGTAGGATTTGATGATCTTGATCTGTCTGGGGATAAAGTGTTTATTTTATAAATGCTCTTCAAAGTTTGACAAATGATTTCCTAAGCACCTGGGAAGCAGAAAAGTGAGAACTAAAGGAAAAGATACCCATTATGATCAGTGAGTAAAGCAGTGTTCAGAACAAATGCTCTGATGTGATGAGTTGTTGATCTGAAAAGCTAGTTCAGTTTGAGATGCTTAAGACTGAAAGAGATACCTGAGGGAGAAATTGGGTATATGTGTTTCACAGAAAATTATAAGGGGCTAGGAAATAGATATCTTGAACTCTGTCAGTATTGTGCATGCCTGAACACCATCAGCACAGCTCATCCTAGCAGGTAGGCAAGAGCACAAACAGTACTCAGTTAGAGAAGCATCACTCGCTGTGAAGAATGGGGCTCTCAGGCTGCACCAGTTTCAGCAGGTAGTTCTGGGAGAATTTTAAATTTCTTTGTGAAACACAGCGGTAGCCTTTAAAAGAAATTCCTTACAGAGCAAAAATGTCACCATAGGTCCAATGTTATAACTTGTAAGTGATTCTGGGAAGAAAAAGCAATAAAAGACATCCTTTGTGACCGAGTAAAACAGGCACTTCTGATGTCCAGTTTTCCTTACTAAATCTGGGACCTTGAAGTCAAGCTGTTTCTTGTTTTGTCTTCCTGGAGTAACCAGTTACCAGCATAAGCCTTGTGAAACCTTTTACACTTGGGTTTTGCCTTGTACTGTACTTTACCCTAATGCTTTTACCAGCTATACCTGCCTGTGAGGTCGAAGCCATACTTGCAGGGGGGGGAGTTTGAGTTCGTGTGCGCTGCTGACATTGCTTTCCTTTGAGCACTGGCATAATGCAGCTCTGTGAAGCAAAGAGCTTCACCCTGCCTGCCTGTGGGAACAGCAGGGTTATTGCTGTGTGGCAACGCAGCTTATTCTCAGAAGGGCCTGAGGAAACACAGCAGGGGCTGAAAGTCATAAACTGTGATTTGCAGTGTTTCTGGCTCAGTGAAACGAACGTTGCTGGAAACTATCATTTTATGGCTGGTGCTATTCAAAATTAGCCAAAAAAAATGTGTGGAAGGCTTAGAGAAGGAAACAAATCTTGCTTCTATGAGACAAAATACAACTGAGAGGTTTAATTTTTTAAATTATGTTTTTAAAAAGTATTTAAATGAGAAAACAAACATCTTATGAGCATCTTATCAAGAATTTTTTTGTTGCTTTGGCCCCATTTTGGTAAACATTTTAAAATTAAAAAAAAAAAAGTATAAATGCTATTAAAAGGCTTCCCAGAAAGGAATAAAATCACTACTCTTTGTATTTACTTGGAGTTTTTTAATTTAAAAACAATGTTTGAAAATTGATGATGGGTTCTAGTCTGAATGAGCTGATGAATACCTCTCCTTTATTCAAAAGATGTAATTACTGCAAATGTTGTTTTCCATTAAAATGTATGCACTTGTCAACAGTTCCATCATTATGCTTGGTGCTTGTTTTTTGCTTATTATATGCGTAATTGTTGGTGACTCTTTAATGACAATTACAATAATGGTTTCCGTACTGTTCCCAAAACTTCATCTATATCAGAGAAGTCTGACACAAAACAGAACATAAATATGAGGGCAGTTTTCAAAGCTAAGGTTCTGGGGTCTTAACAGCTGATTCTTTGTCTGGTTTTTACTTTCATATGATAGTTCTGATTGCATAAAGCGAAGAATGACTGCAAAGAGATCTTGTCTTTCGTGGGCCCATAAAGACAGCTTCAAGTTGTTTTCACTGGCATAATAGGTCTTTTTTCAGCAAATGGAGTTGCATAACTTTATTCTGAAGCAGGCTGTTGTCTTAGCCCACAAAATAGTTCAGCAGAGCTTGGAATGGATGGTGCACTCAAAATGTCTCTGGGGGCATCTACCAGTGACTGGAAAACAAATGTAATTTTCTCCTTGATGCATTATACAGCAAAAAATAGCAAAAAAGAGAACTAAAATCAATGGCTCATACATTTCCAGTTTAGAAGTACACAGTACCAAATGCTTAAGCTACAGGTATGTGAAGCTTTCAGTGTACAGTTATGAAATAAGCTGTCCACCAAAACTGCTTTTCTCTAAGTCATGATAGAATATGTTTTATGTGCTTTAGCTTGACGTTTATAGCCTTTTCCCACTTCCGCTACTTCACAGTATGTAGTGCTGGATTTCTCATACAACTGAAAGGAAAACATACCAGGATGGATTTCCTCCTGGCAGACATAACTGTAGTTTCACGGAGCTTGTGCATCCTTTCAGATTTATACCCTTTCAGCACTCCCAGCCTGACTTCTAGCTCCATATAGCCTTTTTTTTTCCAAAGTTGCAATGACAAAGGGGCTATCTAAAGTTAAATAGATCATTTCTCTTTGAATCTGCCTGCATTATTAATGGCTGAATCTTCACATCTTTCCTTACTAATTTGTAAAAAGTAGATATGGGTTCCAGACAAAATGATGGTGAAGAAGAAGAACACTTAGAAAGAAAAAGAAAGAAAAGTTTTGCTGTCAGTTCACTGACAATATATTTGTTTTATATCTCTACCCCTCACACCATCCTTTGTCTTCAAAAATACTCAGCAAACAATTTAGAGGAAGCAATTGGTATATTCCCTAATGAGACAAGATAAAGTGTCCTATAATGATGATGACAGCAAATTTAGTAAGTGAACTGCAGTTTAAGAACTTTGCAAATTGATCAAACCATGATTCCTTGGTTGCTTACTTAATTGCCTGTTACAGTTTCTCTCCTGACCTCCATATCCCTACTGCTTTTGTCAGCACTTCGGCAACTGAGGGACTCTCTGTTAGCCCCTCAGGTTGTGAATAGTGGAAGAATTGGTTCTGGTTTGGGGATTCTACTTAATTTGCATTTAATATATACTCTTGGCCAGCTATCAGATTGGGAATTTAGAGATATTCTAGACTACAGTACTTTCTACATCAGGCTAAGGATGAAGCTTTCTTAATTCTATCTATTATAGGATGGATGCTAATTAAAGCACTACCTCACCAGGTGCTGAGTACCTTAAGCAGTATCTTAACCCGGTGGTGTTCTGTCTGCTAAAGTTGTCTGGTGAGGAGAGAAATTTACAATGAAAAAGCATATTTCTGTGTGTGGTACAAGTGATCAACTGATGAGACTTAATTCATAGAGAGACTTAATTCTCATTCTGGAGCCCCTAGAACAGTGGTTCTATTTTGTTGGCAGAAGTGAAGAAACGTCCAAAATCCGAGTGATTAACTATTTTGTAGCATTCTTCAGAGTAATAGTCAGACAACTGTACTTCAGGGCTCAGCATTTAAGTCTTTCTAAAATTTGTTTCATTAGAGAAACTATTTTTAGGAAGTGAGGGGAAAGGAGGGATGTGAGTCCATATGTGCACAGGAGTGGGAGTGAGGAACTATTCCAGCTGCTGCAGAGTAATTCCTGCCTTCTACAGGAGAGGCTGGGACCGTGTTTCATAAGCGGAGGGGAAGTGCTGGCCCTTCACTCAATCTGCAAAGCTCCCTCAGTTCCAAACTAGGAACTTTGCAGTTGCATTTACAACCTCAACACTGCAATCATAAGCTGTTAGGGAGAATAATTTTGTCAGTATAATCAGGTAAGTGTTTAAGCAGGTGAGAAAAAAAAATCAGGTCGTCTGAAATGAGATTAAAGGCTTTTGTTGTTCAAGGTCTAGGGTCATGCATGTGACTTTCTGATACTGGACTACCTTTCTGCAGGAGTTTTCTCTTTGCTCCATATGAAGTGGCAGTTACCTCTTACCCAAAAACGTGCCTCAAATGTAAGAATTGTACTGACCTATGAGATTTTTTTTCTCATTATGTTCTTGCTCTTGGTGACCTGCTGCTTGTTTTATTTACCACTTGGATTTTCATGGGCACTAATACTCCAAGAAAAGAATGTTGATAAGCAGAGAGAAAAAGTTGGTTGTATAAAATTAGTTCTAAAGCATAAAAACACCACCTGTGATGGAGACCATATCTGAGCTTAAGGTTTTCTGCTGGGGGACAAGGGCTTGATTTCATTTGGCTGGCAAATGGGCTTTAATGCTTCCTGTTAACATTATCGTGCAGGGAAGGTGTAGACTGCCAAAAAAATCTGTTATTTGTGCTGACAAGACTTAAATGCATGCCTAGGTGATAAATGATGTCTACATGCATGTACCTATGTCTTTGAAACACCATTATATGGATGCATATATGTACCACTCCATAACTAGATGTGGTACATTTCAGAGTTCATATTCATTTGCTTAAGTATTTACATACTTTAATCCAGAACAAAGCGAATACCTGTATCTTTAAAGCCAGCATATATTAATTTCAAGGAATTACTTAAATACATGTGTGATTTTGAGCATGGATTCAGCTCCAAATGCAGTAATCTTTCACATGCTAATCAACTGCATATAACCAGTATATGCCTTGACAATAATTAAAGCAGTACTTACGCATAAAACATGTCTGTCTGCTTTCTCCTTGTTTGTGATGCAATGACTCTCTCTTTCCTTTAAAGCTATCTATGAACATTCTTGCGAGGCTTACCGACACCAAGGGAAGACATCAGGTTTCTTCTACATCGATTCTGATGGAAGTGGACCACTTGGACCACTCCGTGTTTTTTGCAATATCACAGGTAATGACCTAACCTTGTCTTGGCTGCTTTATATTGGCTCTAATGTGATTGTGAGGTGGTCTCAACAGTACAATGATAGACATGTCGACAATACAGATCTCTAGTGGGGAAGAAGCAGAGAGCTTGTAGGAACTTAGGTTTGACTCTGAGGTGTTTCCTTAAATAGGATCCATGCGAAAGTGATTTTTAAACTAAGTTTGAAGAACTCTCCTTGTACTGTTGTTAAGTTGCAACGGCATCTGCACTGTACAAAGGGCACTTCATAACATCATAACTTCTGATGAGAAGTTTATGGTTTTTAATAAAGAAGTAGAAACTTAGAACCCAAACCATTCTTTTGTAACTGAATAGTTTCTCTGCTTTACTAGAACACTAGATCTGGGAATTATTGTTAAACTCCTTGCACTGAGCTAGCTGTAAAATCTTCTAGTCTGACTTAAGCAGCAATAGCTCCCCTCATACAAGTGCGCTGCCTTTGACGTTCTGAAGTGTGGAAACTTTGATTGTCCCTGGTATCTGTGTGGAGGAGAATGCATGATAATCTTAGGAGGAGGGACACAAAAGAGACAGGTAGTGGAGCAAGAGCCTGGCAAGGTTGTTGAGTCTTTTTAACCTTATAGTTCTATAGCTTTAAATAAAAGTTGTTTCAATGAATATACCTATCTGGAAAATTCTCCCCCTAAGTGGGTTCTATTTTGTATAAGAGACTGTCATGACAAGGGTATGAGAAAAGATTACACAGCCCTTGTTGTGGATGGGGATAGATGACAGGGCTCCTTTTGTGCTTTTTATTTTTGAAATGGAGATGAAATTTCGCAGACCGTCTCCTGCTTGGCATTTTTTGCTTCCTGTGGCCAGATGCAGATGAAAGAATGTTTTATTACTCTTTCTAAATTGCTAATTCTGGTTGAGCTGCTTCACCACATATCACCTCCACACTCAGTGGTGAAAACTGAGGACTCAGGATATTCATATTTTATCCTTAATCTCCTTGTGCTTAAAGTGTCTCAAATTAAATTTTCACTTTTATTTAATTGGGCAATCATTATGTTAATTAAATGCACAACAGTTAATTATTAAGTATGTTTTTTATTCAAGTGTAATAAATATTTAATAAGATGTGTCTCCTTCACTGTTGAATCTCATAAGAATTGAAACAGCGTTTCACCCTTCTGTCTGAATATCCTTCCTTGATCTCCAATATAGGAAATGTGCTCATTTTTATTATTTATCATATAAATATGCGTGATCAAAACATTGTCAGTGCTTTTTATCTCTGCTGAAGAAGTAGGATTTTTGACAAACACCTTACATTTGCTTTCCTCAAATAAATTTTATCTGGCAGAAATCCAGAAGGCATATACCTGATTTTCTCTCTATCTGTAATGAACTTGCTGACATTCTTATTTTGATTATGAGAGAGTGGAGATGGGGAAAACTGGCAGAACCTCCTAGCCCAGAAAATACACTTCTCTGGTGTATTCTCTGGTTTGGGTGCCTTAATCACAAGAGCTTCTTTTCTCTCTGGGAACTTACCTCATTTTTATGCTCATAAGAATTGTTTACAATAATCAATTAAATGCAAAATATACAAAGAATAACTTTGTGTACACAGGAATGGATTCTCAATTTGTTACCCTTTTCAGGTGATGCTTCTGCATAGTTTTCTGAAATTACCCTATATTCAGGGAAAAGCAAAATATGAAGTTGTGGTTTTATATTATGTATGTACAAGGAACAAAGAAAACGTTATTGTCCAGTGATATATATCTCTACAAATCCTTCTGTGAATGGAAAAACATAGATGGTTGGGAACATCAATGCTTCCATGTATGGGGAGACTAAATAAATTAAAAAGATGGTTGGAGGAACTACCACAGAAAGGCGTGGAGATCACTTGTGGTATACAGAAAGCACATAGGAATTGATTTTTCATCATATAGGAGCTAAGGGATACTCAAATGATTAGACAGCAGGATTTGGGAGGGTTTTTTTTGCTTGCTCTTTCCTGATTCAAAGAATTCAACTTGAAACAGTACCACAGGACAGCAAGGAGGCTGATGTAATAAATAAAGGGAGTAAAAACAGTCTGGAAAAGCCCCAATCTTGTCTGATAGATTCAGAAGGTGCAATTAAATATGGAAGTTTAGTTGAGCTCCTTGTTCAGGCAGCTGTGAGGCAAAGACCACTGGGAAATGGGAATGACTTTCAGGAAAACCTTTTGACTTCGCTCCGCTACCCTGGATATCAATTCACCCTCAAAGGCAGAGTTGGGCTCCTGGGCTAAATGATGCTTCTACTTTACTTGGGCTGACAGTTCTTTCTGTATACAGTTCAAGAAGCAGTAACCTCTCTGTGCCCAAAACGTGTTCAGGCTGAAGAATCTGGAGCTAGAATGGAAAATTCAGGGCAATGACTCATTTGGTGTTTTTAAAGTAGAGGTGCAGAGAGCTAATGACTTCTGGGAATTACAGTGCTTTGAATCCGTGAGGGATGAATTCAAAGAAGAAATCAGATCATCAGAAATGAGCAGCATCATTGCGTTTAGAGAAAAGTGTTTTCTTTAATGTTCACTTACATCTGTTTAAAGTTCTTTTTAATTTTTTTCTGTTTAATTGAACAGATAGGGAACTTTTTTGTAGCCAGTTATTAACAGGGGAGCATAAACACCAGCTTTCTTGCATATTGGTGCCTGGTCATAGATATCCAGTGTCTGATGTAGATATGGAAAGTAAGAAGAATACAAGTTAATTTATTGTGTTTCCAGTGATTTTTTTGCAGCCTGTCAACTTTAGCAGCCAGTGCTGAATAAAATTTCTGAAGAAAGCAGAAAATTGCGATTGTATGTGTTGAGAGGGAATTGGACAGTCATACAAAGAGAAAAAGAGATATAAGGGAAAGGAAATTTTGCAGGGAGAAAAAAAGCGGAAAAAAAGTATTAAAAAATATAAAGCCAATTTTCAGCATGGTAAGAAATTTAACAGTAGTGTCACAGAATATCTGCTGATACTAGAGTGGGTAAATGTACTTATCCATTGTCTGAAGAAGTGGCTAAAAACGCAAGGTGACAAAAATTGTAGATGACATGCTATTATTTAAGTTGGTCAAGAAGAGGAAAGAGTGCATGAAGCACTTTTAAAGGATCTTATCTTGAAGGCTGTTTATTTCTACTAAAATAAAATATGTTGTTGAAATAGGAGCTTGTCAGGAACAGTAAAGTGCCTAATTAAAGGCATGGAAAGATATCTGTATAAAGAGAGCTCAAAAGTAAATAATCCAAGGCTATTTAGATTGGGAAAACTCAAAGTGAATGGGCCTCTGACAGAAGCCACTCTAATTTGCATTTTCTTACAATAGGAGTAAAGAGACAGTTCAATGACAGTGGAAGACAACAAACTCAAAACTAGATCTAAAAAAAAAGACAGCATCTTATTAACATAATGTTTTCTTCACCTTAAATACCCATTGAACACAAGGCAAAGTCACTTTCACAGTGAAATTTATCAATTATAAGAAACACTGAGGAATCCACACCAAATGTAGGATGTAGGTGTGTGCAGGAAGTGACCCAGATGTAGGTGCCTGAATCATGATCATGTGTAGTTGGATGCTATGAGAGACACTATGAGGATGTGAACAGGTCTGTGCAGGGATTATTAATTTCGGATGATTTTGTTGAGTGCTATGGGAACATATCTAACATGTTTCCAGGCCATCTGCATGGGAATGTAAACTAGCTATGTTTGCTTTACCTGGATTTTCCCATCATCCGTGGTGTTCTATGCCCACACTCATTCAGAATTAAGTACAGAGAAAATGCATCATGTCATGCTTTGATGTAATGAACAGTCACCAGGGCTGGGAATGAAATTTTCCCAGTAGGCTGGTTGTTTGATAATTAGCCCAGTTGAATTAATCTCCACTTAATTGAAGATTGATAACAATCAATATAGAAGATGACTAACAGACCCTATGTACATCTGATCTGGCAGTCTTTATATCATTGTGAGGCTTGTTCTTTTTTTCTTGTTGCTTAGAAATGTATTGATCTGTCTGGAGTACTACTTAACTTTTAATAACCATATTCTCCAGTACAAAGCCTATAGACATGCAATCTACATCCATGTACTTGTTTTACTGTACTGTGTGAAAAGTGTTTGTAATGACCTTTTGTCCTCTCCTCCAGAGTAAATTTTACCCTTGATGTCTGAAAGAAAAGTACACTTGAGTCATCCTGTCACCATACTTCTCTACTGATGCTGTTTTGCTGTATGCAGACCCTGGGCTATCAAATCAATAACACTTAGAAATTGCCATGACTGAATCAATGGTTAATTTTATCTTAGCCAGATATTTTTCCAGTCTTCAAATAGCTTGCATTTTTTTTCTTCCCTTTTTTTACTCCGGGGCTGCAGTTTAGGGGAAGGTGAAACCTTATCCCAGGTCTTGCTGCTAGTCCAAGACCTGTTTTTGAAACTGCCATAATGAAAGAATCATTAATTAACAGAAATATATCTCTTCTTGTGGCAGATCATCTCTGGTTTGCAGTCTCCTCTCAAAATGCAGATATTGTCTATTTCTCTGATGCAGAAAAAATAAAAGTTTTTTTTTCTATATCTCAAAAAACTGTATAGAAACTGTGTTTAAATCTCAAAGTAAGGGATTCTAAGAAAATGTGAAAGAGATGATGAATGTTATACTTGCAATTTTTTATAAATTGCCTCCTTTTTTTTATTTTTTTCTCATTGTGCTAACAATTATTAATATTTTTGTTCTTTCGTATGTATTCCATGGCATGAAAGAGGGCTGAATTTAGGAGAATGCAAGTAGTGTTTGTAGTTGAAGTGCCTAAATATTTTAAGTGTTTGAATAGTCCCACTTATAGTATGATATTGGGTCAACTATCTGAGGAAATTTCTGTAGTAATTTGCTCACTTCACTGTGAAGAAAGAGCAGACTGGAGTAACAGAGATGGATTGCTACAAAGCAGAGCTAACTGG